CTCTCTCTCTCTCTCTCTCTCTCTCTCTCTCTCATCTGCCAGGTACTAACCTGTGAAGATGGCGCTGTGCTGCAGGTACCTCGACGACGAGCTGGAGCTATGGCGCTGCAGGTAAGTCTCCCTGGCCTCCACCCAATCTCTATCTCTCTCCAGTGCTACTCTAGCTCCTAATAGCGCCCAGCGCTGAAGACTACTGCTAACGCTACTCCTACTACTGCAGCGCTCCTCCAGAGTGCTGCTGCCGAATCCTGAAGACTACCTCCTGCCTCCTGAACTGCACGTGAAGTGTCTGGGAAGTCCCTATGAACCACCTGCAGCCTGCAGGGCGGGCCAGTCTTATATAGTGCTGGCCCATCCAGGAGGCTGCTCTTGCCAATGCCAAAACGTGCCAGACCCTGGCGTTGAAGCTCGAACAAAGGTTGTCTTGAAAACAGGCCCAAAAACCCTGGTCTGGTGCCTAAGTTTCAGGGCAGGTCGATCTTATGAGGGCCTGAAAATGGCCCTCCGTTTCAGGCTGAAAAGACTCAGGGCCTGGAGGGCCCTTTTTAGGCTGAAACGACACAGGGCCTGTAGGCCCTTGATTTCAGGTTTTCAGGCTGAAACGACACAGGGCCTGAAAATGGCCCTCGTCTGCAGGCGCAGCATGTAACATGCGTGATGCAGCGCGTGTGCTCAACTGCCGCACATGACATGCGCCGCAAGTGTGGGGAACACGCATGACCTTCACGCTCTCCTGTGTTACGGGCCGCGGCGGCCCGGGAGACCAGTCTCAGCATTGATTGCTCCCCTCAGGAAGGATTTACTGACAGTCCAGCCCACTCAGTTGTCACAGTCCCCTCCCTCTAGTTCGCTACCCCTTCACTACAGAAGAACGACACAAGCAGGACAGGGGCCAAGTCCCACTAGCAGCGTTGAGTTTCCTCAACGCCCGAACGTGGTTGTGTTTGAGGCAGAGATGAGCACCGGGTACCCAGACCCACACCCACCTGCACCCACCCCACCCATGAGGCATTGGGTCAGGTGTGGGTCTTGATAAGCTGACACGGGTGGGATGAGGCTGGGTCTAGGCGAGCCAGCCTCGGTGGGTGATGGGCGGGTCAATGTTAGGCCTGGGTCACACGAACGGGTGGGTGACAGGCGGGTGAGCGCTAGGCCTGGGTCACCCAACCCACAGACCCAGGGCAACCCATAAGAACCCTCCCCCTCATACATATTTCCCAGCTGCGGTCCACCTGTGGACTTCAAAAGTTGGAGGCCCATGAAACCAAAAATCTCCACCCTGGGTCCCCCTGGAAAAAAAAGTTGTCGTCCTCGAAAAAAAAAGAGTCGCGTGAATGGCAAATCGAACTTTGGGATCCTCCTTGAAAAAATGTGTCACACTCTACCGGTGGGTCGGTGGCAGCTAGACCACGGCCCAAACAACGGGATGTTCGCTCCCATTAAAACAAAGGGGATCGAACCTAACCACAGGAAGTGGCAAGGTTCGCTTCCCAAATTCAAACTTGTAGAGCGCTTTGAATTTTCGCGCCGTCATCCAAGGACAGCCCAAAGTGGAGATGCTGCAAATTTTCGTGCCGTCATCCAAGGATGTCATGTTGCTATGGTGTGTGTAAATGTTCAAAGGGACTGAGACAATGGGGAACGGGCGGATGCAGGTTGGAAATAATTAGGTACCGGGTGCGGGCGGGTAATTTTGTTCTCGCTGGTGTGGGTGGGTCAGGGTGAAGTTTTTTTACGGCTGACGGGCGGGTTGGGTGTGGGAGGGAAATTTCAAAAAAACACCTGGGTGTGTTGGGTCGCCTTGAGTTTTTTTGAATTTTTTTTTTTGAGGGCGGGCTGTACTTAAAAGAATGTGGATGGGTTGGGTGAAGTGCCAATTCAAAAAAAAAAATGCTCATCTCTGGTTTGAGGACGGGTGCGGTTGAGGAAACTCAACGCGATTTTCTGCACATCTCTACGAACACGTCCAGATTCGGGCACTGAGGAAACTCAACGCTGCTAGTGGACGTGGACACAGGGCCCAGACTCCTCTGTCCTTTTAACTTCAGCCTGATGGTACGCTGACACTTGCGGCGACCAGCCCGGTATGCACTGAGCGGGTCTCCCCAATCTGGCTTTCCCTTGCTCCTTACCTTCCCCTGGGACTCCGCTTCAGTCTGAGCATGTCCCTTTCGAGTGAATCCAAATGGCCAAATTCTCCTTCACGAATTTGCTGATGATATCTTGCCGCTTGTCCGATTCCTTCCTGATTTGTTTCCTTTTTCCTCGTGCCAGTCTGTTTGATATTCGATTTCCAATGCCTGCTTGAAACCTTCCCACGCCGCCTCCTCCGAGATCTCTGGTGTGTCGATGGTCTCTTTGCACCTTCTCAGTCTCCTATAATGCTTTTTCTAGGTTTTTCTGAAATTTTCTCCCATTTTTCCAGCCCTTTTCTTTCAACTCTGTTTATCATCATTAATAAATTGATAATCCGTATCAAGTTACGAGCAATATGAAACAAATTCAAATAAATTAATCATTTGCATGGAGTTACATGAGCAATATGAAAAAAAAAGAAGGATTTAAAATTGAAAAAGATTCAAAAGAATCAATTGATTGGAATAGGACAATCATGACACCTGACCTCTGGATCACATTTAAGGCCAGCCTGTGCGAGAGCTGCTCTCGAGTCCAGATGCGAACCGGGAGCAATTGTCGCCAAAACATTCTGGTAATCCTCTAGAAGAGCAACAGCCTCTTCATACACAACCTGTTATACAATAATAAATACACAAAAGAAAGACAAAATAAATAGCTCAGTGTGTTATTAAAAAAAAAAAAAAAAAAAAAAAAAAACTCTCAGATAACCAAAGTGAAACCACTACGGGCATTCTCGCACTAAGACATTTTTTACTGAACCTGGGCTTCATTATGGGCAAATTTCAGTCTGGAAAAGTCCGAGCGAGTATGCCCTACGAACAACGGCACCCTAGATAACGTTTCCACGGACAAATTTTTAAAACAGTAAACGCTGGCCGTAGACGTGGCCCTTGCGATTCTCTGTGCATGCATCTTACATTCACCTCTAGATGGTGCCTTTCTCCAAAGTATGCCACCTACTGGTCCCACACCCTCCCTCG